TCTTTTCTCTTCTAGACTTTGAAATAATTGGCATGTAATTTTGAACTTCATTACCTGCACTTAGTTCTGTAATAGACTGAATGGGGATATCCAATCCAAATAATATTTTTATTTTCAGTCACTACCTGAGATCAGATTTCCAGTTGTGAGGAAAAACAACTTTCTTCTTTTTGCAGATGTATGAAAGACACATTCTTTTGAAGCTTTATCTGTACTAATTGCTTTGTCATACTGTCCTGCATAGAAAACTGTTTTGTTTCCAGGAAAGAACTGTTTGATACAAACAGTTTTCTGTGCAAGTCCTGGAGGTGTTGAGGTTAGAAGCATTTTCATTTCTATAGTATCAGAAAAAGAAACTACGTAGAACTCAAAGCCACTTCTCTTCCTGTGTGTGGCTTGAAGGCTGAGCATATTTTGGTATATCAGCCAGCCTTCACGGTCTCTTGTGCTGAGTCTCTTTTTAATGTTAGAAAAATGAATATATTCTCTTTGCTTGTTGCTAGTTACAAAGCCAGAGACTTGGCAAAAGCTGTTGTAACATTAGAGAGCTTTGTTGAATGCATTTGCTTTTAGCTATTTTAGGGATGCTTTGCTGTATGTACATCAGTAATATCAGTGCCCAAAGGAAGGAAAAGGGGTGGAGAACAGCCACCAGTTTTCTTTAAGAAAAGATAATTAAATTACAAGAGTGCTACTCATCTTTTAGCAGTTTACTTCCCTGTGTCTGTTTTTGGTGCCTGCTGAAGAGGTAAGAACATCATTTTAACCTGTTCTGTATGACACTGCACAGGGGGGTGCATTTTTACTTACTGGCATGGTGTTTTCCAAACTGCAAAGATATAATGGAAAAACCACAATAGGAACTTTTTTGTGCTGGGTTTTGTTGTTTGTTTGTGGGGTTTTGTTTGTTTGGGTTTTTGGTTGGTTTCTTGTTTGTTTGTTTTTACTCTGAGTTCTGGGGTGGGATGTTATGAATATCACAGACATTTTGGTAAAGCATTATCGAAGAACTCGCAAGTAATTTGCATGTGCATGTACAGGGATGTGAAAACTAAGCTATTGCAGTCACGTAGTGTAAAATAATACTTGCAATTTTCTTAACTAAGAATAAGTTTATGTGATTGGCCGCTGCAGAGTAGAAAATAGCCACAAATTACAGCAACATTTGTGATTGTTTTTACTCTGAGCCTTCTTAATCTGGGTCCTAGCTACTGATGTATTGCATCCATCTTCTGGGTTAATGAATGTAGTGGTCCAATTATCTCAAGTCAATGAAGACTGTGACTTTAGAAGTTCAGTTTATTTATACTTATTATATTGTCATTATTTTGTTAATGCTTAAGAATCTGAAGGGAGATCAATAATACGTTACATGTAAAATTGCTTTGAGAAAAAGCTTGCTAGGTCGGATATTTCTAAGTTAAAAGCCTTGAAAAAATAAGCTACCTTGGGCAAACTTAATCTAGTCTTAGGTTGATCTTCCATTACATAACAACCTACTATTTTAGCCTGATGTAAAAGGAAAAAAAGCGTGGTTTTCTGAGGTTGCACATCTCCCTCCTAAGGCACAGCCATGTTGGTGATCTTATCTCCGTTACAATGGCTTTGAGACTTCACATGATATTTTCAAAAAGCTGCTGATCCATCTGCAAGGTGCTTGACACTGGATTATTTTAAATACATAATTTAGAAGACATAAAAATTAATAAAAATACATAATTTAAAATAATGCCTGAACAGAATCTTTTGTGTGAACTTTCTGCTGAAAAGGTAGCAGTGTCCTGGTATTTACTAAAGAGGTTACTGCTGCTTTTGGTTTTATGTAGCGGTTGCTCAGCTTTGAGGTTAGCTGACTGCGTAAAACAGCTAGCTGGATTCCATGGCTAAACATGAAAGAAAGGCATCTGTGCAGGTTTTAAGGTTGTTTTTCTCTGTCAGGCAGGGTCATTACTGAAAACACTTGTTACTGCCAAAAAGCTAATCTAATGCAGACAGATTTGATGTAGGAGAAAAGCCCTTCTTTTACAATGGTAAAATTTAAATGTTACTCTTCAGTCCAATTTGAACACCTCTGTGAAATGATTATGGCTTCAAGTCTGTTGTGGGGCTGAGGATTATCTCCCATTTTGGGGGTTACAGTGCTTTTAGATAATACTTTCTTTGTTCTTAAAGGTACCTCTTCATTAAGCTATATTTTGAGTTATCTTTGGATATGCAAGAAAAATGGATAGAACACAATGATTGTCAGAGTTTGCATCTTCATGAAGATTGAAAAAACAGCTGTAGGGTTGTGCAGGTACAACATTGCTAGAGCTGCTGGCTACGTGATGTATTTTAAGCTTTATTGTCAGCAACGTGTGGTGATCTTGCCCAGTGGTGAGAGAGCCATGGTGGCTTTTTTCCTCTCTGCACAGTGCAGGTACTGTAGGATGGAGGGTCCTTGCCACTTTGCCCTGCCTGTTTTGTTGTTTGGTGCCAGAAGATAATCTTAGTCTTTCCATCCTAGACCCTGTTGGCACTCTCTTGTTGGCATTAGATTCAGTGATTTATCACATGAATAGGGTATAAAGTCTAACAATAGACCAACAAGTTTTGATGTTTGCAAGTAGCACTGATGGGCTGATGATGCACTCCTGGAAAATCCCACCCCGGCTAGAGCAAAAACTGTCTCCTGGTTGGAGGAATAGCTGTGGGCAAGACAAAGTGGAAACAAGGAGAGGCTTCAAAGGTGGCCTTCCCTCACACCATTTAAATTTGTGGAGGTTTGCATAGCTGAGAACTTTGTTGGTTCTTTTTTAAATTTACATGCATCTCTAAATAAAATTTTGCATGCCTTCAATATTTTTCAGATGGCCTCTGAAACCAGTTTTCCCAGACAGGCTTGATATATGGAAAACATTGTGCTTTTCTGTGAAATCTTTTTTTTAAAGATTTTGAAGGAGATTTCAACTAGCAACTCTTTCTGTGCTTGCTTAACTCCAGGGTCGCTCTTAGTAACTGTTTCACTGTGGCGTGTTCTTAAGAGCTCTGTAAGACACACATGTATTTTCTTTAAGATCACTGGAGTGGTTTTAGTGGATCCACCTAATAATGACTATCATGAACTTCCTAGCTTTTACTGATGCTTCAGCAGGGGTTGGATGGAAATGCCAGAAATCTCAGCAGTTTTTAGCAAATGTAGCTTGCCCTGGTAATGGGTGTTTTGGTATCCTGTGTAGTACAGAGGTCCCTGAGCTTGTACTAGCTGTTCTTTCAGAATGTAGTGGCTTAAATGAAGTTGAAGACTTGAAACATGCTCATCAATCTTGGGAGGTATTCTTAAGGTAAAAGATGAAAGCAGGTAAAGAATGAAGGGGCCTTTGCAAATGACATGTATTGTGTTAAAAAATTGCTCAGGCTTTTAATGTTTCAACCGAGTAATTTCCTGTGAAATTGCAGTTGGTAAGGAAATAAAATATGATTATGCCTATCTCAGTCTCTTTTGTTTCCACAGGAAACCAACCTTTTTTTTATTTTCTTTAACACTGCTTCTGCAAAATGCTTTGTCCTTCTGGTGTCTCTTGAAGGGTTTGACAAAAAACCCCCATACAGGCATGGAATGTATGCTGTTTATAAATACATATTATCACCTTCTGCTTTTTTTTTTTTTTTTTTGGTGGGAAATTAAATAACTTACTTGGGGCAAGTTGTGTGTAAGGTAATTTCCTTCACTGCCAAAAATACACTACATAGCTGAAGTTTTAGTGGATGTTTTTGGATTTTGTGGATGGTGTTGTTGTTTGTTTATTAGGATTTTTTTGTTGTTTGGGGTTTCTTTTAATTTAAAACTCAGTATTTTTAAATAATGATCCAGCAATGCAGGTGGTTGGTCAGGTTCTCAGGACTGCCAGTGAAGCATCAGTAACTGCTTTGGGAAGGCTTTGCTCTTCTGTCCTAGTGTCTAGACCTTCTGCTTAGAGCCCGACTGTGTATTTACTTCAGATTAAATTTGAAATGCTTAACCAGTTTTCATATACACATATTTGATGTTTGGTGTTCCATAAGTGAAATTGTCTTGCGTTTCTTGTAGTATGCACTAGGGGCAGGACAGTAGTACTAAAAAAGAGTATTTTGTGTCAGATTATTTCAACTCAATAATCATTTTCTTTCTTGACTTCACTGCAAAGTCTGTTAAAATTATTTTGTATTTTAGTGAGGGATTTGCAAAAGTGAAGGTCACAGAATATATCCAAACTACAGTTGTGACTTTGTTTTAATTTCATACTTCTTAAATATTTGTACATTAACTTCATCAATTTGGGGCCAAACACCACTCTTAACAAAAATAATACCATGATTTGGTATTAAACTGTTTATGTTGACTGTACAAAAAATGTGAAGGTTTGTGCCTGAGGGTTAGTGGGCAATATGGTGAGAATGTCTGAGGAACAGCATGTCTTAAAACCTCGGCTGTATCTGATTTAGTGCATGAAAAGTTTGAGCACAGCAAAATGTGGTCTTCAACTGTTATTTGAAATGTCTTTGAAGAGGTGAGGAGAAGAGATAATAACATGTATCCTTTTTTTTTTTTCCTAGGTCCAGAAATCCCAAATCTACAAGAACGAATAAAAAAACCCAAACCATTCCCCCCAGTCCTTTACACCATCTCTTGGTGAATTGTCCCTCCATCTGGTGGCAATTAAAGCTGTATCTGGGACATTGCTGCAAGCTCATCTCTTTCAGAACCACTCTCAGCAG